CAGGGGGGCATGCCTGGAAGCCAGGGCAACACACGGACGGAGCCCTCTGCTTCCCCCACACCCTCGGCTGCAGGGACGTGATGCCAGCCGGCGCGGGGCTCGAGGGGGGCAATCCCGCAGGTGTAGTTTGCCCACCCCTGGTCTGGAGGTAGGCCGGGGGGGGGCTGGTGCCAGCTGCTCAGCGTGCCGCAGGAAACAGCCCCGTGGGCCGTGTGTTTGAGACCCCTGCCCCAAGCGATCTTGCCGTAGATATCAAAGTTCTGCGGCTGGAGCGCAGCTGTGATTGCACAGCCTGCTCTCCTCACAGACCCAGGAGATCCACCATCTCCCGTGTACTCCAGGCAGGAGTGTGTTTGCTGCATGGAGCCAGCAGTCAATTGGGCAGCTGCTAGGTGAGCTCTCCAGGCCCAGCAAACAGGAAGAGCAATTTTAAAATTTCCTGGGGCTTGAAAGGGGATGGGACGTTCTACCTGGCTACAGGGCAGAGGAGTTGAAAATGGTGACCAGAGCGGTCACAGTGAGCATTGCAGGACAGCTCCTGGAAACCACTTAAGGCAACGTCTAACGGACACTGCCTCAGTCTAACTAGGTTGCAAAAAGCACTGCCTCTCGCCCAGGTCGGTGTAGCAGGCGAGTTAAAGAGGCGGGAAGAGCATTGTGGTGCGTACACCTCCATAGTTAGGTCGCCATGAGCTGCCTTACGTCAACTTAACTTTGTAGTGTAGACATGCCCTAATTCTTCACTTGTGATTTTTGTCAAGCTGAAATTCAAATTCAATTAAAATGCACAAAAAAACCCAGCAATTTAGTTTTATTTAACTAATAAGAAAGTCTCTTATGTATCTGGCACATTTAAGAAGAATGTTTATCAAAACACGTTTTGCATTTAAGACTACGTGATTAATTAAACTAGGTATCATCTGTAGTTAATGAATTGAACTGATCGTGATGACCAGAAACATCCTTCAAGATTTTAGAACTATTCAATCTCCTCTCAAAGCTAGTTTTTATTCATAGATTGGAAGAGGAAACAAGCTTTTCTGCTTTTTCAACTCCCACTGGCCTCTTTGAATGAATTATAGTCATCAACTGAAAATATTCTCTCCACACTTGCAGAAAAGACTACTGCTGTAAAAAGCTGGTTTAGCACTTCAGCTAATTCTAGTTCAAGTGTTTAGCTAGTGACTTGCACCAGTTCAGCAATTTGACTTTCTTTAAAATTTAAGAAAAACACATATTGCTTAATTTTTTTAAGTTTACAATAAATTATTATAGTAAGTTAAGGGTTTACCCTAGTTCATCATAATTTCAAATTTAATTTTAAATATTCAATTTAAAAAATCTGATTTAAATACCCCCCTTTAAAAAAAAAAATCAGCAATTTTTATCCACCCTGGACAAGTGAAAGGCACATCTCTAGCCCAGGGTTTTGCCATGCTAAATTCCAAAGACCTGCTGCTCACAATGGAGAGCTTAGTGTTTCCTCAAAGAGACCACAAAAATCTTTCATAATGGGTAACTTTTGGAAGCCTAAATCAAGGGGTCACTATTAGCAACAATAAAATAAAAACAACACAGCATTTTACATATTCAAAACACTGCAAACACTTTAACCTAGGAGTCAGGAAAGAAAACTTAGCAAAGAAAATTTTAGGCTGAATTTCAGGAAAAAAATCCTGACAATCATTTAATAGGTTGTAGAAACATCTCCTCATTAAAGCCACATCATTTAGGGTATTTAAAACTTGACCGAATAAAACACCACATCACTTACTGTAGGAAACTCTCTTTAAATTGCAACAAAAATAATGGAAACAAAAACCAAGCTAGCAAACAAAACTAACGAAACATCAGATCAGATAATTAAGTCTGACATTGAACATGTAGCTCAACAAACCCAAGCTCTGTTGAACCATAAAGTGGAGCAAATTCAAAAGATGGAGACCCTCTACCAAGGACACCCTCCCATGCGTCTGACAAAGTGGGTATTCACCCACGAAAGCTTATGCTCCAACATCTGTTAGTCTTAAAGGTGCCACAGGACTCTCTGTTGCTTTTTACAGTATCCCAAATGATTTCCATTGCTGTGATGGAGTATAGGACAAGAGGTGTCTCAGACAACTTGATCCCAGATCATTCAAGGTTTAAAAAACCTGACCAACTTGACCTGGACCTGGAAGCACGTCAAAGACGATCTGGCACAGAGGTGCCTGGGGCAGCCCTCACTGGAAATGCCAAGGTCAGGGAAAGCTGCAAATGAAGAGCAGAAGCCTGGTGGGTAACGCTGAAGTTAAACTCCCCAACCAGTCACAAACTGTGCTGCTTGTAACCAGAAGTGCCCCCCGCCCCCGTTTGCTCTTTCAGGTGCAGTCTGAACAGTATCCTGTTATGCCCTTACAAAGCTAAGAGCAGAGGTAAGTCCCCAATGATGTCAGATGCTTGCTTAAAGCTGCATAACTTTATCTAATCAATTGTATTCATGCTTATGAATATGTAATCGATTAATGTAAGGAATGAGTGAGATAGTGTGAGTGAGTAACAGCCAATGGCAAAACAAAGAGGCAAATCTCTTTTATGGAACCATGGTATTATCTTGGTAAATGTATAAATCTTGAGACTGGCGGCCAGGTCAGGAGTACCAACAAGGAAATGTAAGAGCACGCTAAACTCGGGACCGGACCAGAAGCAGTAGAGCCCTCCCACAGATCCGAAGGGACTTCGGGACTCTTGTCGCCTCAAAGCACAAAGAATTCAGGACAGCAATGGGCCAAATAGGCCTGCCAGAGACCTGCAAAGCATATTGGCAAGAAGTAGGCAAAACCCATTCAATTAGCATGGACACTGACCAGACTCTCTCCTCTAGCTACTATCACCAACATCTTAGTGATGATATTTCAGCCCAATATGTTACACTATTTCCCCGGGTGGCTTTTCACATACACATTGACCAGGAGGGGCATCAAGAACTCTCTGTGTAAGAGCCCTTTGTAAGGAGCAGCAGTTGCCCAACACTACCCTCTGTATCTTGTACAGAGGGAGGAACAAACTACTGAAGGGTCATTTTGTCTATCCCTACAAGAACGTACAGGAGAGTAAAAACCTCAGTAGCGAATGGCATCAAAAGGCAGAAATAATTAGTAGAATCCGTTTGGGCATCTTACTTGAGATCAACTGTCAATACAATGAGTCTCTCTTCCATTCCCAAATCTGAAGCCAGATTGATAGGGACCCTGGAAATTGACGGAGCTTACTGCAGCTGTAAACAAAACAAAACCCACCACCACCTTCTCAATCTTCCATTTAAAAAAATATTCAAGACTGCAATATAGTTGGTGAATTTCCAGAGCAAGTCAAACTGCTATTTGTAAGACTTTGGACAGCCTGTTGCCCTCAACAAGAAAATCATTGACAGTTTCTTGTAATAATGGGTCTAAAGTCTTGTTACTGACTTTAACCACCCATGGAAGACATTCTTCTAGTACACAAATAGTTGTTGTTGCTGTCTGAGAGTACATCTACATTGCAACTAAACACCTACAGCTGACTCAGGGTCACAGGGCTCAGGCTGTGGGGCTTTTTAACTGTGGTGGAGATGTTTGATCTCAGACTGGAGTCCAGGCTCTGTCTACTGGAGCAAACCAAGTCATCACAGGACTAACAGAATCCTCCAGCTTGTTTAGGCCAAGCATCTTATCCATTACCAGAATACAGGTGGCAATTGTCTTATTAGCAATTGACTGTATGTTAAACAGCATGTGTTGAAGATTAACTCCCAAAATGAAGTCATTAGCAAGATCAGTGGGATAATGAGGTTAGCAAGCGCCACGCCTTGAAGATAGCCACAGTCCTGGCAGGAGAAGCTAACAACTGCAGGCACCTTGCTGCACAGGAGGATCTTGTGCCATGGTCACTCCTCCACCACCCACTGCTGTCAGCACTAATCAGAAGTGGACAGCGAAGCAAAAACCAAGTGCAGGAAATCTCATTCTCATAGTACCATGATGGGAGGGGAGGGGAGGGGAGGGGGGGGCAGTTTGGCATTTGTATAACCAAGTTTGGTTTACGGACACAGTTAAACTGAAGAGGGCATGATGGCAGAGTAGGCTCCTGATGTGTCTAATAAGGAGCTGGGATTAGACTCTGCTCCTCAGTGTCCTTGATTATCATCACCTCTATTGCTATTTTAAATGGATATGAGGAGAATTACAGCACTGCTAGCTGTTGGAAAGGGTGCTCTCAGATCCACCGGCCAAAACCCACATGTACTATACCACGGACTAAGAAGATGCTGTGGGCACGGCCCAGACTTTGGCCTTTAAGTCTTAAGTTTACTGTTGACTTAGTCAGGAGATTCTTTAGATTGTGCTCAATGTAATTTAATAGTTGGAGAATATGACGTCAAGCATTTTTCTAGTAGTGCAACTGAACACCAGCTCTGTGTCCCTTGTTCTCTTCCTCTTTCACCAATTGCTCACTTGCAGTCGGATCTATAACTGCTGCAGGTAAGTATCAAGGCTCAAAGCGGACTTGTTTTTTTAGCAAGTGTGATGTAAATCAAAACACCACTCATGTAGGATAATGAAATGCTCCAGCTTAACGATCTCAAAAAACATGCTGCAGTTCCCCAGCAGCGCATGCACGCCCAGTGGCTCTAGCTGCAATTCTGAACTTTACACTTAAGGAAAAACAACAAAGTGCTCACACTCAATACCGCACTTTCAGAAGGTAAATATAGTAGTTGAAAACCAGCCCTTTTCTAACACAAGGCATTGCGAATGCTGTGTTTGAAATTTAAAATTCCTGCTGTTATGAGTTATGAACCAATAATGTAGTAAAATATTGGGAAAGGATCTGTTTTCTCATTAACTACTTTCAAACACTTAAAGTAATTTGCCTCACATTTTATATGGTGATTGTTAATTTTAACAGAGTTCTTGAATTGCAGCAACCATAAGACACAAGATCCCTTGAAAAATGTTGACAGCATATGACATCTTTACCTTCATTCGATTGGGAAAATGCACAGCAAAATAAGAGTAGCGTTTTCCCCGGCATCCAGCTCCAATAATCAGAACAGTTACACAAGGAGGCATCTCTGCTCGGTTATCTACCTGGAGCTAGAAATAAGACGTGTTTTAGAATCATCTAGGTTAAAAAACACCCACCAATATTAGGTGTATTTATTTTTATTGTGATTATAGGTTTACATCAGATAGTGCTGACGTAAGCCTTAGAGCATGAATTCTCAGACATGTCCTTTTCCCTTCTCTGTCAAGGTACATTTTGTTTCTTTCTTCCTCTGGCAAGCTGAACTTTAAGGTCACAAAGTTATACGCTAAAAAGTCAGGAAGTACCAGAACTGAAGTTATGCATGGAACCTAAATTCTGTTCCTTCGTATGCAGGCGTTAGAATAGTCTTTAATGTTCTCATCAATGCCTAGACGATTTAGAAACTTACATCTCTCATTTTGACAGTCAGTTAGATGTAGGTACCTAAACTAGCTAGGAATTGCAATGCTGAGCACACCAACGCCTAAACACCATGAAATTTCTGAGCCTAAATGCCTCAACCAAGGTCACACCAGAAGTCTGTGAGAGCAGAGAACAGAAGCCGGATCTCCTAAGCCCTAGGCCAACCCCTACCTTCTCGGCCATGCTTCCTCAGAGCCATGCCAAGCCACAGGCAACTTCTACCCTCGGTCACAGGGCTGGCACCCCCTCCTGCCACAACCTCCCTGGGGTGGAGAAGAGACTCTCCCTCAGCCCCCGTCCCCCCACGACCTCCCTGGAGGGGAGCAGGCACCCCCCCCCCACGACATCCATGCTGGGGAGACCCGCTCCCAGGCACGGGGCCGGCACCCCCGGGGGGGGACGGAAGGGGGG